GGACTATACAAGACGTGGATTTTTTAAAGAATATTTTTTCAAGGACTATACAAGGCGTGGCTTTTTTAAAGAATATTTTTTCAAGGACTATACAAGGCGTGGATTTTTTAAAGAATATTTTTTCAAGGACTATACAAGGCGTGGATTTTTTAAAGAATATTTTTTCAAGGACTATACAAGGCGTGGATTTTTTAAAGAATATTTTTTCAAGGACTATACAAGGCGTGGATTTTTTAAAGAATATTTTTTCAAGGACTATACAAGGCGTGGATTTTTTAAAGAATATTTTTTCAAGGACTATACAAGGCGTGGATTTTTTAAAGAATATTTTTTCAAGGACTATACAAGGCGTGGATTTTTTAAAGAATATTTTTTCAAGGACTATACAAGGCGTGGATTTTTTAAAGAATATTTTTTCAAGGACTATACAAGGCGTGGATTTTTTAAAGAATATTTTTTCAAGGACTATACAAGGCGTGGATTTTTTAAAGAATATTTTTTCAAGGACTATACAAGGCGTGGATTTTTTAAAGAATATTTTTTCAAGGACTATACAAGGCGTGGATTTTTTAAAGAATATTTTTTCAAGGACTATACAAGGCGTGGATTTTTTAAAGAATATTTTTTCAAGGACTATACAAGGCGTGGATTTTTTAAAGAATATTTTTTCAAGGACTATACAAGGCGTGGATTTTTTAAAGAATATTTTTTCAAGGACTATACAAGGCGTGGATTTTTTAAAGAATATTTTTTCAAGGACTATACAAGGCGTGGATTTTTTAAAGAATATTTTTTCAAGGACTATACAAGGCGTGGATTTTTTAAAGAATATTTTTTCAAGGACTATACAAGGCGTGGATTTTTTAAAGAATATTTTTTCAAGGACTATACAAGGCGTGGATTTTTTAAAGAATATTTTTTCAAGGACTATACAAGGCGTGGATTTTTTAAAGAATATTTTTTCAAGGACTATACAAGGCGTGGATTTTTTAAAGAATATTTTTTCAAGGACTATACAAGGCGTGGATTTTTTAAAGAATATTTTTTCAAGGACTATACAAGGCGTGGATTTTTTAAAGAATATTTTTTCAAGGACTATACAAGGCGTGGATTTTTTAAAGTTTTTTTTTAAAGGACTATACAAGGCGTGGATTTTTTAAAGAATATTTTTTCAAGGACTATACAAGGCGTGAATTTTTTAAATAATATTTTTTCAAGGACTATACAAGGCGTGGATTTTTTAAAGAATATTTTTTCAAGGACTATACAAGGCGTGGATTTTTTAAAGAATATTTTTTAAAGGACTATACAAGGCGTGGATTATTTCAAGACTAATTTTTAAAGGACTATACAAGGCGTGGATTATTTCAAGACTAATTTTTCAAGGACTATACAAGGCGTGGATTTTTTAAAGAATATTTTTTCAAGGACTATACAAGGCGTGGATTTTTTAAAGAATATTTTTTCAAGGACTATACAAGGCGTGGATTTTTTAAAGAATATTTTTTCAAGGACTATACAAGGCGTGGATTTTTTAAAGAATATTTTTTCAAGGACTATACAAGGCGTGGATTTTTTAAAGAATATTTTTTCAAGGACTATACAAGGCGTGGATTTTTTAAAGAATATTTTTTCAAGGACTATACAAGGCGTGGATTTTTTAAAGAATATTTTTTCAAGGACTATACAAGGCGTGGATTTTTTAAAGAATATTTTTTCAAGGACTATACAAGGCGTGGATTTTTTAAAGAATATTTTTTCAAGGACTATACAAGGCGTGGATTTTTTAAAGAATATTTTTTCAAGGACTATACAAGGCGTGGATTTTTTAAAGAATATTTTTTCAAGGACTATACAAGGCGTGGATTTTTTAAAGAATATTTTTTCAAGGACTATACAAGGCGTGGATTTTTTAAAGAATATTTTTTCAAGGACTATACAAGGCGTGGATTTTTTAAAGAATATTTTTTCAAGGACTATACAAGGCGTGGATTTTTTAAAGAATATTTTTTCAAGGACTATACAAGGCGTGGATTTTTTAAAGAATATTTTTTCAAGGACTATACAAGGCGTGGATTTTTTAAAGAATATTTTTTCAAGGACTATACAAGGCGTGGATTTTTTAAAGAATATTTTTTCAAGGACTATACAAGGCGTGGATTTTTTAAAGAATATTTTTTCAAGGACTATACAAGGCGTGGATTTTTTAAAGAATATTTTTTCAAGGACTATACAAGGCGTGGATTTTTTAAAGAATATTTTTTCAAGGACTATACAAGGCGTGGATTTTTTAAAGAATATTTTTTCAAGGACTATACAAGGCGTGGATTTTTTAAAGAATATTTTTTCAAGGACTATACAAGGCGTGGATTTTTTAAAGAATATTTTTTCAAGGACTATACAAGGCGTGGATTTTTTAAAGAATATTTTTTCAAGGACTATACAAGGCGTGGATTTTTTAAAGAATATTTTTTCAAGGACTATACAAGGCGTGGATTTTTTAAAGAATATTTTTTCAAGGACTATACAAGGCGAGGATTATTTAAAGAATATTTTTTCAAGGACTATACAAGGCGTGGATTTTTTAAAGAATTTTTTTCAAGGACTATACAAGGCGTTTTTTTAAAGAATATTTTTTCAAGGACTATACAAGGCGTGGATTTTTTAAAGAATATTTTTTCAAGGACTATACAAGGCGTGGATTTTTTAAAGAATATTTTTTCAAGGACTATACAAGGCGTGGATTTTTTAAAGAATATTTTTTCAAGGACTATACAAGGCGTGGATTTTTTTTCGAGGACTTTTTAAAGAATATTTTTTCAAGGACTATACAAGGCGTGGATTTTTTTTCGAGGACTTTTTAAAGAATATTTTTTCAAGGACTATACAAGGCGTGGATTTTTTAAAGAATATTTTTTCAAGGACTATACAAGGCGTGGATTTTTTTTTCAAGGACTTTTTAAAGAATATTTTTTCAAGGACTATACAAGGCGTGGATTTTTTAAAGAATATTTTTTCAAGGACTATACAAGGCGTGGATTTTTTTTCAAGGACTTTTTAAAGAATATTTTTTCAAGGACTATACAAGGCGTGGATTTTAAAGAATATTTTTTCAAGGACTATACAAGGCGTGGATTTTTTAAAGAATATTTTTTCAAGGACTATACAAGGCGTGGATTTTTTTCAAGGACTTTTTAAAGAATATTTTTTCAAGGACTATACAAGGCGTGGATTTTTTAAAGAATATTTTTTCAAGGACTATACAAGGCGTGGATTTTTTAAAGAATATTTTTTCAAGGACTATACAAGGCGTGGATTTTTTAAAGAATATTTTTTCAAGGACTATACAAGGCGTGGATTTTTTAAAGAATATTTTTTCAAGGACTATACAATCAATGAGGCGTGGATTTTTTAAAGAATATTTTTTTAAGGACCATCAATGAGGCGTGGATTTTTTAAAGAATATTTTTTTAAGGACCATCAAACAAGGCGTGGATTTTTTAAAGAATATTTTTTTAAGGACCATCAAACAAGGCGTGGATTTTTTAAAGAATATTTTTTTAAGGACCATCAATGAGGCGTGGATTTTTTAAAGAATATTTTTTCAAGGACTATAAAATAATAATATTTGGTCAAGGAATATATTTTTTCAATTATTATAGAAAACGTAAATTTCAATTTCAATCTAAACTAAGTCACAATATTTGCACAATTAAATTAAATTATCTTTAGTCTAGTTGTTAGTTTCTAAGGTAATTTAATTTACATTCATTAGCATTTACACACACACAACTACAAATGTACTCATCATTTGCACTTTCTTTATATCTCATCTCTATTTTTACAGATCAGAGGAACGTGGCCTTTCACGAAAGCATATTATAGAATCCGTAAAAGCAAGCTTACAACGTTTGCAATTACAATATATTGATATTGTGATCATACATAAAGCGGATGCTATGTGTCCAATGGAAGGTACGATTCTCCCAAACTCCAAAAATAAACCCAAAATTTCAAGTTCCCCACAAATAAATTATGTGAAACTAATATCAATTAATTTTCTTCCTTTCCTTTCTTTTCTATAAATTTTATTTTAATTTCCTCCCAAAACAGAAGTTGTACGTGCCATGAACTATGTCATCCAACAGGGCTGGGCCATGTATTGGGGCACAGCCCGCTGGTCTCAGGTGGAAATAATGGAGGCCTACACCAACTGCCGTCAGTTTAATTGTATAACACCGATTGTCGAACAATCCGAATACCATATGTTCTGTCGTGAGAAATGCGAATTGTATTTACCGGAAATGTATAATAAAATCGGTGTTGGCCTCATGGCCTGGGGTCCTCTATCGATGGCCTTAAGTGATGCACAAAATGGTGAAAAAATCTTTTTACCAAAAGGCTCATTTAAAACGAAAAGTCATAGCTATTCATGGACTGAAGATGAAGTCAATCGGAATGTAAGTGGAATCTTTGAAGGATACAATTACAGTTGAAGAAATTTGTTTTGTTTTCCGTTTCTTCTTTCAGGCTGCCTTATCACCTCAGGGTAGTTGGAATAAGGAACGCATGGAAGAGGGTCGCCGCCATTGTGATCGTTTGAAAGATTTAGCCGCACTGGCCGAAAAGCTGGGATGTACACCATCTCAATTGTCCATTGCCTGGTCGCTAAAACATGAACCTGTACAGTGTTTACTTTTAGGTGCCACTTCTGCTGAACAATTGCATCAAAGTTTGCAATCATTACAGGTAAGAAAAAGTTATTACTTCTATAAAAAAATAGTGGAAATTATGGCCATAGAGGGCCAAGAGAAGGGCTACTATCCTATAGATATCCTAGAGTTAGTTTGTTATTCTAAAGAAGATCTGATATCATATATCTAAATAACACGGGTATTCTATTCTAAAGAATGCCTGAAGAAATTATTCTACAGAAGACGGTCTGAAGCAAGTCTACTAGCCTATTGCAAACTTAGAAGGGTATTCTATCCAGAGAACACATGAAGAAATAATTCGATGGAAGACCTGGATGAGATATCCTGTCCTGTATAAAGTTTTTGAAGGTTTCCAACTCTATATAAAACCTAAAGTAGACATCCTATTCCATAAAAAACCTTGAGAAGGTATTCTATCCTTCTATGAACCTGGAAGACCACGAGAACTACTTCATACCTAAACCATAAGGCGCGAATAATGTTTATTTTATTCAAAACCTTGAGAATGAAGACCTAACTAAAGTTTTATATCCTAAAGGCCATTAAAAGGTGATGTATAGAATACCAAAAGGTACCAATCCTTATATATGACCATGCAATCTGGAGGAAAAGAATATCTTGGAAATCTAGAAGAAAATTGAATAGAAGATCTTGAGGTCACCCATCAGACCTGTATAAGATCTTTTATTTTGTATAAAACTAGAGATTTATGCTACAATGGATCTGGAGGGTAGACTAGACCTGAACAAGGTCGACTATCCTAAAGGAGATATTGAGAAGGCAATCCGTCATTTATATAAAATACTAATTTTTTATAGAAGACCTGGAGTTCTGGAAGGCAGAATAAACCCAAAGAAGGTGTACTATCCTATGGAAGATCTCGAGTAGGTCACATACCCTGGACATTGTATTACGTGATCTACTGCAGGTCTATTGGAGGGTTTCCTATATCATCCATGTTTCGATCTTAAAGGAGATCTGGAGGAGGTATTCTGTTCTATATATATCCTGATGAGTCTCCTGCCTTAAATAGGTCTTGAAGGTCTTCAATGCTATAGCAGACCTGAACACGTTATCCTATAAGAGACCTTTAAATCTTGTATTATACTATAGATGACCTGGAGAAGGACTCGTGTCCTATAGAATAATTTATATTTTGTAGAGAGTGTCTCCTATCCTATATAAGGTATTCTATCTTATAGAAGAAAGTCTTCCTTTGAAAACCTGTCGCAACTCCTTTAATCTATGCCCGATCTGTCGGTAGCCTTATATCCGTATGAACCCACTGACAAATTTTCTTTGAGAGGTTTTCTATCCACAGAAAATCTGTGAAAGGAGCGTATTCCTTGGTAGAACTCCTTCATATAAGGCCTATGCGAGATATGCTATGGGTGTCTACCCATATCAGACTATAGAACACCAGATGCGAAATTCTCTATCCATAAAAATCTTTTAATATACCCATAAGAAGTTTTCTTTCATACAGAAAAATGCAAGCTATTTTCAAATTACAGAAGAGGTGTGTGTGTTGACTTTTACCAATAGAATACGTGTAGGAGCTTTCCCTTACCTAGAAAACCTAAAAAATTAGTCTGTCTATAGAAGACCTGTGGATGATATTTTGTCTAAAAATATATGTGAAAGACCTCCGTACTATAAGAGATCTTTGGAAGGTATTTTTTGGAAAAACTTTACTTTCCCCCGAGAAGAACATTCGAATGGCTTGTACCCCTTAAAGAACTTTCTAACACCTTTTACCCTTCAACGGCATTCAATAGATCCGCTACATGAATGTCTTTTATATCAAGATTTACTGTAGAATGTTGCAAAAATTTATAAAAGCTCTTGGAATGGTCCGTGGAAGATCCTGCGTTATTTGTCTTGTGTCGGTATAAAGTATATTCTCGTAACAGTAAACCTGAGGATGTTTTTAGAACCATTAAAAAATATCTGTCTTCTACAAAAGACTTTTGGAAGGCATTTTCTCTAGGGGAAATGTCGAATACTAGAAGAATGAAATTATCTTCTTTTTTATAAAGGACATGAACCTGTCTGGTATTTGTAAAAAAATTCTTCACTCAACAGTAAAGCTGAGGAGAATTTTAGACTTCTACAAAAGACCTGTGGAAGATATTATTCCTTAAGAAGAACTGTTAAATACCACTACCCATGGAGGAACATTTGAAGACTTGTGCCCTTAAAATAACTTTCGAATGTCGTTTATCTTTTGAAGACATTGAATCGATCCTCTATTCGTAGAAGACCATTGTAGTATATGGTCTTGAAACATTTCGTTTTATGTAACTTTCCATGTACTTATGTAAGCCGGAATTTAGACCCATTGAAAAATATCTGTTAATGATCTCTTCTACAGAAGACCCGTGAAAGGTATTTTTCCCCAAGAAAAACTGTTGAACATCTACTACCCATGGAAGAGCATATGAAGACCTTGTAACTTTCACATTTTCCTATGTAAACCGGGATTCGTATTGTGGTGTTCAAAGTTCGCTAAAGGAATGGGCGACTCATACTTCTTCTACTTCTCCTATACCATATGGCTTAGAGGAGACTACAGAACGATTTTATATCTAGCGCCGCATTTAAAATGCTGGGCGATAGTCTTAAAACATTATATGCCTTAAAAATTAAAAAATAGGCCAAACAGGAGTTCCTCGTTTCACTTCAGGTATTGCTCCACTATTCCATTTCCCACATGCTGGTTCCTTTCCAGGAACTTAAGGGCATATTTCATCATGCTGACATCGATCCGGTGGAAATCGATGGTATTGTAGATGTTCCTATTGGCCGAATGTCTATAAATTCCATTGCTATCCAGTGTTGGCCTCATTCCTACGCATGGTGCCAAACGGTTGTGCGATCTGAATTAATAAAATATTAAATTAAAAATAAAGATGATCCGTTTCAGTCTTCTATTTAAAAAGGACCTGGGAATAGAACTCTGAAAGGTTCTGGGTCCCTTTTATCGTAACTGTATAAGAGATATTCTCCACGCTTTAAACATGAGGAGGGTTTTAGATCCACTAAAGATTTATAGAACCCCTTTTATTAACCCTCAAACTAATATTCTGTTTATTGTTTCTTATTTCCAGTTACTGCCACGCTTGTCGACCAGTGTTATGCTCGAATTGGAACGAATATTAGAGAATAAACCGGTGCGACCGCCGATGATATCAACGCTGGCACTTCGGTGACAATCAGCCTGCCCTCAGGGGCCCCCAAGCCTTAGTGGCGGTGTCGCCGGCGGCAGCAGCGGCATGGGACCCTGTGGGCAAGAATCTCCCAAAAATGATGAGGTCTCGGCGTTTTGCGGTGAAGACGGCGATGCAAAGGATGCCTCTAAGCAGGGCTTTTGCGTTATTCAGTGACGAAAGGAGTCTTTAGATATTGATAATAAATTTATTAAAGCAATTAGTAGTAAAACTAGTTTAAGTAGTACAACAATGACAACAACAATAAGTAAACATGATTTACAATTACAACAACAACAGCAGCAGCAACAACAACAGCAGTATCAGCAGCAACAACGTTTTTCTCAAAATATGTCATATAGTTTGGATAATAATAAAACAACAACAACCGCAAGAACAAATCGTTTAGATGGTTTAACGATAACAGGAACGACAGGAATCACAACTGGAACAACAACAACAACAAATACCATACAAATTGATACATTAAACAACAACAATTTGGATCACGATCTAATCAATGGAAATTCTGGTTTCCGCCAGAACCACAACAACAATAATGGTGATGTCGAAGCACCACCCCTACCACAACCCGAGCCAGCAGCCAAAATCCCCAAAAAACGTTCCCTCTTGAATTTCCGATCCCTTGATTTTCACATTAAGTCCTTATACAGTGGTTTGCGCAATGGTAGCTCCGGCCAGAACAAGGCCAATTCCCAGTCGACAAATTTATTGGCACCCAGCAAAGGTAGTGGTAGCGGTGGAGGTGGCAGCAGTGGTGGTGATAATGCTGACGATCTGAATGGCAGCGGTATTGGCTTGGTTAGCGGCAATGTCGTCTGTGGCGGCGTCGGCGGCGGCTACAATGCCAATGGCAGCGAACTGAACCTAAGCGATCAGTATTATCATCATCATCACATCCATCAGCCGTATAATCGCATGCCACCCTATTTGAAAATCGAATCGGTAGACAATGAAGAGTCGGAAAATCTACTAATCGATTATCCCCAGTCACCATACTCGACACGTCGCAACAGTTCGAACGATGACAACCGTTCCAGCAGCCAACTGATACACCTCACCGGCGGTGGCGACGGCGGCCACGGTGGCTCGACACAATATCTGCAACAGCCATCATCCGCCTCACATCATCGCTACGAAATGTCGCGTTCACAGGCAAGTTCTCCGTCACCGTACTTTTTGTCGCCTCATGCATTTGCCTCGTCGTCGCAAAATGTCAGACGTTCGTCAACATCGGACATTATGTCCGGCAGTAAACGCAGTGTTTGCTCATCGGCAAGCACCAGTCGTCGTCCGAGCACCTCGGATTTGTTGCGTAAAGCGCGTGAGCGTCGTGGTAGTGAGACTCGTATGGGACGCAGTGTTTCGCATGGCGGTCTTCCACGTGGTGGCGGTGGTGGTGGAGGGGCATTTCGTGCCGGGCCCGGTGTTGGTGGTAGGCGAACGAGTATGGCCTTCTAAGGCAGGAGCTATGATTTTTCTAATATACTTCCTATCCACCTACCCCAAAACTCCCTCGATTCCTCCGCCTCCTCCTCCCACTCCTTCCAACCAGCTCGTTAAATTTCTTCCTAGCAGTACTACATACTACTGTTTACAATTACAACATCAACAACAAAATCTTCTACATTTCTATTGTCTTTCCTCCAAACTATATAGCTAAGTAATATTCACAGAGAAAACAGAAGAAGCAAAAAATCTTATATTCAATACAAAAAAAAAAAAGAATTAAAAAACACAATCTGTAGTGATTACAAAAAAAATAATAATAATATCAAAAAAATAAATAAAATCCCCAAAAAATATGTAAGAAAAAAAACCTTACACACAAAAAAGTGCTTATGATTCGTTTTTTATTATTGAGAACAAAAAAAATGAAAATCGAAACAAAAAATTCTTAAAATACAACATTTAGACAACCAAAAAAAATAAAACTTCAAAAATTATAAAAAAAATGAAAATACTGATATAAACAAAATAATAATTAAATAAATAAATACTGGAATTATATTCTCTTTAAGCTTTAAAAGTAACTAAATTACAAACTTGAAAAATAAAAATAATTAATAAAAATACAAATAACAACAACAACCACAAAAAGATCCAATAACAAAAATTATTTATCTAATAAAGAATAACTTTTTTGTAGCTAAGTAAGTTAAAGCAAATGTAATAAGAAAACAACAACAAATACTGCAATTGTATAACTTCAAAAATAAATAAAAAACAAAGCAAAACATATAAACAAAAACTAATTAAAAAATTATTATCAAAAATAAAAATTAATAAAACAAAAAAAATATAAATGAAATTTTGTTACTTTAAATTCGAAACATTAAATCACCCATCACATTTCAATAATCATATAAATACACGATGCGATTTAAACACACCATCGGTTTTCACCATGTGAAAAAAGTAAACACATTTGAATATTATTCTCTAAGACTACATTTAAAATGTTGTCACTTTTCATAAATGTCTTCTGTTAAAAAATCTATTAAAACCCATTTTCAATAATTTTTATCTACTTCGGCGGTATCATTTCGAATGACAATTTTATTTTTCGTGCTAGATTGGTCAGATAGTCAGCTTGTGAAATCAAGTTTGCTCTTAAGTAACCTACTATTCAGACAATTTTCAAGCACATACTCCTCCATTTAAATGTCCCAACCAATTTTAAGAACTTTGAATGCATTTCACAAGATAATGGAGGGTTTTTATTTGCCTTCAAATTTACTATATCACTTTTGTAATACGATTTGTGTTCTCCTTTTTATTTTATTGACTATTTTTTTTTTCGTTTTTACATTGGATTTTGAAAATGTTACCTTTGAAAAGGCCTAGCTAGGCCACTTTAGCATTATGTGCCACAATATTTTCCTATGTTAGCAATATAATCGTAAGTGGACTGACTAAGACTCTCATAGAACATACATGCTTGGCATAATTAATCGCTTGTCCTTTCCATTTCGTGAGTAATAATTGTGGCTCCTAAAGCAAAAAAAATAGAAAAAGAACTTGTGACAATCACTTCATAACGGTGGCCTGAACTTTGATTACAAATAGGGTGCGGCAATCGGTCTTTCTCACGAATGTTCACGGCGAGAATTCGATTGTTTTTAATTTATCGCGAACGATAATGTTACAATGAATGAACAAGCATTTGCAATCTCTCGAGAATGCTCGCCTTGCACGACAAATTCACAAACGACGAGCATTCGTTGCAAAAGAACGTTCATTTGAAAAACTCAAAAAAAACAAATGTTCGCGAATGCTCGCCAGTGCTGTTTTAACAAAAACACATGCCCAACAACTATTGTATTCACGAATGTTTGTTGAAATTCTTGTTGCTGCATTCGCGAGCATCCGAGAATATTCGTTTTCATTCGTGAGCGAATGTCAGAAAGAATATCAATCACCAAACAAAACGAACAATCGTTGTTGTGTGCTTTCACTCGTTTGTTATATGTGTGCGAACATTCGTTTGGCCAATGCTCGTTTGGTAAAAAAATTGTGATAAATTTATTCGTAGAATAAGCCCAAACAAAAATAGCTTATTTTGAATAATTTGCGAGCGAATTTTTGCGCACCCTTATTATAAATATTGCATATTTTGACCAACATTTTTTGAAAAAAAAAAATAAATCCACGCCAACAGATGGTACTTAAAAAAATAAGTTTCTAAAATCCACGCCTAAGGGCTATACCCATGATCATATATTGATCAATTTTTGTGGGAAGATTATAAGAAGTGGGAAGACATAAGAAGAACACAAAATTTCAAACTAGAGCCTACTCGGTTAAAGAAATGTGTGTTGAAAAACATTTTGCACATGGTTCTTGTTTTTAAAATCCGCACCTCTAGCTGGTTCGTACAAAATATATATTTTCCAAATAGACGCCTATAGATGGTTCTTAAAAAAATATTTTTCGAACACATTTCTTTAACCGAGTAGGCCTTAGTTTGATATTTTGTGTCCATATTATGTAGCGAATCTTCCCACCAAAAAAAAAAAAAAAATTGATCAATATATGATCTCAGGTATAGCCCTTAGAAGAAGGTTTAGCTCCTTTATACGCATATTCACGATCCTAGACAACATTCCTATATACTACCACTGGAGGGTGCAGGAATTGTCCAAATTTACTCTTTGTACGCAATTTTTTACTACGTTGCCAACTAGGAATTGTTGTTTTTGTTTTGTTTTTGTTTTATTCAGCCAGGTTCTGGTTAAATGCAGCGAATAGTACAAGTCTGTATTACATGTTGGACAGACATTCTACATATTGGCCTTAATCTATTCCAAATACGAACTGAGTCTTCTACGTCATTCTGATTTGCCAAGACAACTGGAGGTCTTCAGTTGAAATGGGTGGGAGTGAATTCTGAGAGACTTGCGAATTTAGCTTCTTCACCTAGAAGCCCTCCTTTATATCGTTGGACCTACCTTCTTAGATTATGCAGACATTTTCTGCACGGCGAATGGGGTACTTCTCGCCCCCATATGGAAGTTAGAATGTATCTTTCTCTAAAGCACCCAAGCAGGTAATGAGACCCATGCATAGAATGTTATACGCAGATTTTATAGATTAGGTCTAACACCGAGCCGAGTCATAGGGCTAATTTTCTGAATCGAGCTAAGTTTACAAATCTTTAACATCTTGAAACCTTTGGAAGAGATGCCAGAGTGGACGGACAGCTTTCATCTTGGAATATTATGTAGATTTGGTGAAAATATTACTTTATGTGAAGTTTGGTTTAAATCGAATACTTAATTTGCATAGTATTAAATTTATAATGCTTCAAAATTTTGACCCAAATTCCATTTTCTTATACAAAAAAAATTTTGACAATGGTATTGCTATATTTGGTCATTCGGATAATCTGTTCTATTTCAAAATGTCAAAATATTGACCATTTGAGGGGTAGGAACATGAAATAGAATTGGAAAAAATATTAGGTTGTGCAAAAATTTCCGTCTCTAGGACATTGTACCAATAATCTCCACCTTCGAATCTCATCTATGTATCAATGTTTATATACCGTCATATATTTCGGGAAAGAGATGTTTCTCCGCAGAGATACCGAAAGGCCAAATTAGAGACAAGACGGTCAAAACACGGAATTATAGTCACTTCACTTAACAGAATAATTTTTGTTTTATAAGAAGCCGTAATGCCAAATTAGTTGTTAAAATGCGACAGGGACTTTCGAAATATCCAAAATAAGGAGATATCTTTCTCTAGGGGCTATGTTTAGACATGGACACATAATTGAATAAAGCTATGATTTGTGAGTCTTATCTTTGTACACCCTCTACCACGGCTAACAATTTATTAATAGAAACGGAATTTTTATGTGGGGTAATATCAAATCCGCACAAATTTCTATACATCTCAGCTTTCCAGAACCCTTTATACCACATAACAGCCCCATCGGTTGAAAAATACGGCTAAAACCTTCAAAATACTGAAAATGGATGTACCTTTCTACAGGAGCTATATCAAACCATAAACTGACATGGTAATTTTTGGTAGGAAGATGTGACACCCCAAAAGAATTTATTTCGGTTTCGGTTGAAAACATGCTGAAACTCCCTCAAAAAGTGGCCCAATATTGGTCATTTGCAGTATGAAGATTTTATACCCATTGAGAAACAAACGTAGCAAATTACAGCCAATTCGGTTGAAAGACATGTCAAACATCTACATAATACCGAATTTTTGGAGGTACCATCATATGGGGGCTGTACCAAACGTGGACCAATATACCCCATTTGAAATACCAGCCATCCTAAGAGTAATAGCAATGCCAGTGCAACATTTCAAAGCTCTATCTCATATATTGCCATCACTATCGTGATTTTAACAGGTAGACACAGTTTCAAATTGTTCAGATTTTCAGACGTTGTGTAAACACAAATTTTCAATTTAAAACGATATTTTATACCGACTTTCAGATTGATCTTTGATAAGACAATTTAAAAATACTCGTACCACCTTGTTGTAATATTTGCTACAGCCTTTGCTAAAAAACAACCATTTAAACGCTTTACACTTATTCTATACCTGTCCTTTTGGAATAGTTTTTTGCCTAATCTAATATTTTTCAAAAAAAATTGAAATTGATTAGCCGATTAATTGGATTTCAACAAGATGAGTAAAACAGTTATTTATGTATCATGGGAAGAGGCCTGCATTTATCGAAATATTTTTTTCTTTTTCTTCTTCTTCTTCTTTTGTCAATTATTTGTTTTAAAATTATACACCACATCTATCAACTCGAACTTCCTTTTGCAAAAGTTCGTTTTACTTACTGAGGAAGAAATTGTCTTTGTATACGCACGAATCTACATTCAGAAAGTCTATGTGCAGAAAGTCTATGTGCATTAAAGGTTTTCTATCACTTCAGATTACATGAGAACTTGATAAAATTTGCTGAATACAAGTAAATGTAA